CCCCAAAACCCCAAAACCCCAAAACCCCAAAACCCCAAAACCCCTTGCAAATCTGTAAAAATTGGAGAACGAAAATGAGATGAATCTAGATATCAAAAATAATCTGCTTATGTATATCTTCTTCTTCTACCAAATATGGACAGTCTACATAGGCATAGCCTGCATTAACGCCTCCTTCATCAGTATTGCTTGGTTTTGTTCTCATCATTCATCCTATCTCTTCATTTTTGACTTGTGTGTGCTCTTCATCGAGTTTTACTAAGAGTTTACCGAAGATTCCAACTTCACTAACTGATTCTCCTTCCCATATTTTTCCTTCTCTCATAAGAATGGCTCTAAAGGACACTGGGAAGATTCTGGCCATGAGGGAGTATTGCCAAAGTTCATCTTTCTTTTCAAGTTCTTCTTTAATCTGATCACCAAAGAAATTATGGCCTCCACCTTCTCTTTGAGGCTTTAAGACAAATTTTTCAGGGTGTTCTTTAGCTTCTTGGATTATAGCCCGAGTTTCTTCTGTATCTTCAGAAAGCCCCCACATTCCAGTGAAGAATGTTCTAATATCTTCTAGATCAGTTCCGTTGAACTCCTGCCAGATGGACTCCGAGGAGAGAAACTCCTGGACTTTCTTAAGTGTCAAAAGTTGCAAGTCAATTGATGGACACTTTATAGCTTGGGATAGCTCGAGAGTCTCTCTAGCAGTCCAATCGCTCTCCTTTTCGTAATTGCTGGAGTCATAGCCATGTCTATAGTAAATGATCGCTACTTCTTGGCCTTCGTAGAAGAGCTTTCCTTCCTTTGCTTCTGAATTAGCATTTACTTGATCGAAATCTGCATATTTAGTCTTGATTTGGTAAGTGCTCTCTAAATTATCGATAAGGATTCCAATATCATTTACATTTCTCTCATTCTTTCCACAAATCAATAGGACTATTCCTAGAGAAGGGTCTGCATTTTCAGTATCAAAGTATAGGTCATAAGCCTGTTTTAGTCCCTCAGGAATCAGAACCGATGGATTCTTGGTTCTTTTAAGCCTACTCATATCAATTTCAGTAGAAGATTTCTCAGCTAAGACCTGATGAATCTGGTTAGCACCCCAAGCAAGCACTCCAAAAGAAGATGCAATTGTGTTAACTTCTATTAACTTAGGTTCGTTTGTCTCAGAGTCATACATATAATCACTCCTTATGATTCCAAGGTATCCTTTCTGCTTATAATCTGACTGCTCAACTGCCTTACTAATACGAAGCATATTTCCTATACACTCGTCTTTTTCTCCAATTTCTGATAGAAGTTCCTTAACACGTGTGATATTTTTCATCATATTAACTCACAGTTGGTTCATTCCGACCTGTACAGACTCTACCTTCTCAAACGCTTTCTTTTCAAAAGGAGATGGAAATAGAGAAATAGGTGCATGGACGCACTCCTTGCATTCCTCTGTTCCTTCCATCTTTACTGAGACCCTGCTTTCTTCGCAACAAGTGGTGACTTCTTGTTTGACTTTTTCAATAAGGTCTAGGCTAGTCTCCATTTTCAATAATATTATGTGATGTAGGGGTTTTGGGGTTTTGGGGTTTTGGGGTTTTGGGGTTTTGGGATTTTGGGGTTTTGGGG